TGTATAAATTATAGAGATGATAAAAAAATATATTGTACATAATGTATGTGGAATTTTTATAATATAAAAGTATCGATTTATTATTATATTTTCGCAATTACTTATAAAAAATACTTGTGAGTTCAAAAAATTGATTCACAAGCTAATAACTTTATCATGATAGCATGATAACAATGTAATTTTCTCTTATTTATATAATTGCAATCTTACAAAGCAATGTATATAATTCCTAAACCAATTTTAAAATTAACCGAAAAACGTTATAAAATCGTAAAATAAATAAAGTGATTTTCATATAATAAACTGATGGTCGATAATGATAAAAGCATATAAAAATAACAGATTATATTAAATACTCAAAAACTATGATCTTTCTCAAAATCATGAGTCAAAAAGTAACACTAAGAGAAAATATAAATTATATATATTTAATAAAATATATTTTTTATCGTTACTCATTAAAAATGCGTTTATTTTATTTTAAGTAAAATAAGGTCTTTAAACCTTAAAGGATCTTTACAATAATAAGAATTACAGGTACTATGCACTTTGTTACAAAGATTAAAAATATATGAACATTCGAATTAATTAAATATTTCAAATCGTTACTTTTATTTTATCTAATACAAAATTAATGACATATAATGAAGTTATGGAATTATATTTATTTTATTATTTTGCACTTGTATAATTTAAACTTAGATTAATGCTAAAGATAAAGCTTAAAAGCTTTCATAGTCATTTTATATAATCATATTAATGTTAAGATTCATTAATTGAATTAACTTTATACAAATTTTAATATTTAAAAATTTTTGTTATTTACGATAAATTCGTTTGATACAAATACTTTATGAATAGTAGCATTGTTTATAATTATGATATTTTATTTTTGAAATAATTATAATTCTAGTATATGACAATATTTAATTTTAATATATAATATATAATTTTAATAATATTCATAATTTAATGCGTACATTATATCATTTTTTATATAATTCATGAAATAATTATTTTGGTTATGTTAATATTTTTAGTGTTGAATTTTCTATTATTTTTAATTTATCTTTATTTTGTATACATATTTTTGTAAATTCAATATGAAAAAATTATCCAGTATAACAAAATGACATTACTGTCTAAATTTTATCTTTATCTATTCACTAAAGATCAAGTTGGTGAATCCTTGATTTAAAGCTTCAACAATATTTTAAGCTTATTAAGAATTACGTATATAAATTCATATAGCAAATTATACTTTTCACTTTGAATCAATAATAATAATGCAATAATGTAAATATGCAAATGTGCCTAACTTGTATACATAACTATTTGAATCATCAAAAATATTCCTTTTACTCATATATTTTATTATGTTTTTAATAATATGATAAACAAGTATTTATAGTATAAAAGAAATATCTATGTGCCAACAATTGTATTATAAATTAAAAATTAATTTTTAAAATTTACATGATTTTTAAGAAAAAATTAAATAAAATGTGGTTAACAAAATTTTAAATTACTCTTATAAATGTTTAATATATTTCTTAGGTAAACTAACACTGAAGAGCAAGAAGTGTCATATAACTAAATAAAGAAAAATTATTATTAGAAAAATTAATATAAATCATAAGAAATATTAACATAAAAGAAAAATGTTTTCTTTTTAATGAACTTGTTTATAACTAAGTAATTGCAAAGGTAAAACTGTACTTCATAGTGAAACTAGTAAATTAATATTATATTTTATTCACAAGTATATGAAATAATGTTTCAAAACATTGTCTTGCTTCTAGTTATCATAAAAATAACTTCAAATAAATAATAATATTAATAACACTAAAAGAAAGAGAACATTAAAGACAATAAGATTGGTTTCATGAAAATGTACATTAAAAGAAAAATCAAAATATTGCTCAATATAAATTTGTTTTATAAAATAATTACTTTCAAAATAATTGTATATGCATATGGTTGCACCAGTTACCTGAAAGACATATTTATAAACTTTTATTATATCAACATAAATTACACATTTAATTATAATTAATACAAGCTCACATGTAGGAAATAAGCATCTTACAATTACAATTATAAGACGTTAAAATAAATGCTAATTAATCATATAATAATAATTACAATACGACAAGGAAAATTTTTACCTGCTGCATTCCACATACAACATATGTATTTAATAAAAAAGAATTCCGACCTTGGATTTATTTATTTTATAACTGTTTTTATCTCTATTCATTACAATACCTCTCATGTATTTCTGTATATGTGTGTGCGCGTGCGTGCATATTTAAATACGTATATACGCATAATGTAATAATAGACCGATATGCCGTTACGCTCGTGCTCAAGCAACTTATGAAGAATTTCGTTTACATTCACATTGATTCGCCTTTATATGATAAGAATATTGTACATGCACATTCATTGCGATTATTCTCAGAAGTTAGAACTTCTTTGTATTAATGAATATTGATTAATTTTGTATAAAATGATATGGAATAAAACTTTATATCACATTGTACTATTAATTATAAATATAATGTAAATTTCGAAAATTCTAGAATTTTTTTTCTGAAATAATAGTTACGATTTGTAAATTTTTTTATTATCAATAGATTAATACAATATAACAAATAAGTAAATTTTTACTAAAAGCCGATAAAGATCTGGTTAAACTTTTTAATAAATTAGTTATTATTGTAAGCTTTTCTATTTTTATTTAAAATGCTCATAATTTTGATTGGAAAACAGTATATTATTTTTATTACTAAACAGAAATATAATGTTTCAGTATTTCGCACAATATTTTAGTTTGTACTATTTTCTATAATACATTTTCTGTTTTAATTTGGCAATTTGGCACACATAAAAAAAATAATAATAAAAGGTAATCAATTTGACAATTCAAAAATAATTAAAAAAAGAGTTTCAAAAAAATTTTATTTGCTACAAATTGAAATAAAAAAAAATTATGTGGTCGATACTAGCATTATTATATTATTTATGGTTTTGCGGTAAATCTATCCTTAATTTGTTAATATTTTGTTATTATAAGTTTTTCAAATTTTGAACACATATCAACTTATAGTAGTAAATGATACTAAAAAAAACAATCAAGTATCTGGTTCTTATTTCAAATAAAATAAACTTTATTTACTCGTATCAAGAAAAGAATTACTAAAAAACTAATGGTACCATAATAAATCATCATATTAAATTATATTTATATCTGAAACTCTACAAAATGAAAATTCTATCTATATGCGAGAATTCTCAATCACTTTTTTATTCTCAAAATACAAAATTTGTCAATAAGATGCTTCATTTATAAATGTAGTATATTTAATCTAAACTTAAAATGTTTTTGCATCCTTCAATTCCTGCAAGATGCATCGTACAACTTATAATTCTTTATCAAATTAGTTTACTATATTACTATATTACTATATATAATTTCATTAATACTTGTACATTAGATGAAAATAAAAATTATTCTGAAATTCACACTTTAATTAATTAAATGAAATTAAATATTTAGAAATATTGGGAATCGTTTTTTTAATTAAAAAAAAATATATATATCTGTATATATTATTAAATTATTTGAAAAAGATATTCAAAATTCAACAATTCAATCTTCGCTTAGCTGTATTTTAATTATACACAATTTCGTTCTGCAGAGATGGAGCATCAAGCATAAAAGTTATGAAAGTTTTTATTCGCAAGTTAACCAGAATACGCGCTTTTCGATAACAACCGCAAGATAATTGAAGCGGTCAATCGCTACGACAATACATTTTGAAACTTATCGAAAAGTCAATATATAAAGTTTGGATAATACCTCGATATTTTTAGAGTTTTCCCTCTTCCTGTTCTTATCCCTGATATAAAAGCAGATAAAAGCTCATATGTCTAAGCTCGTGCAAATGTGTAAATACTTATAATTTTAAAAATATACATGATATAAATGTATAACTCAACTAAAATTATTTTTTTAAAAAATCAATCATTTACATACCGCCTAATAAAAATTAAAGGTAAATACTTGTTTTAATGAAAAATTTAATTTTTGAATATTCAATAATTATATAATTTACTCAATTATTTATTGGTTGTCAAATCTAAAAACTAAAATATTTTTTATCTAATAGATATAATAAAATTAGGGAAAATTTGCTTTGAAGAATTACTTATATATATATTAATACATACAAGTATAGAAATCATAATTGTTTATTGAGTTTGAGATTGAAGTATACAAAAAATTAGATAAAAAAACACCTATGTGTTTTTATTATAGCGATTCGTTTATTCAAATTAATCTAGAAATTTTTAAAGAATATAATTTGTTTTCATATCAAAATTAAATTTTTAATATTTTCGAACAAGAATTACGAAAGGAAAAACTATTTATTAAAACGACCGTAATTTTATTTTTAACAATCATGATGTTCGAAAATTATATGAACATGTATATTTAGTCTTGCATTCTCTTTCCATTTGAAATTAAAGTGTCAGAAAACCAGCTACATAGTGCTGATATATTAAAACTTTAAATCTGGCACGATATGCAGTCGTGTAAATATATGAAAAATCATATACACGTAAGGGAGCCTGTTATTAAGATAGTAGGAAATATCTATCTATAAAAATAAGAAATAAAAGGAGCAATATCTCACATTACGAGTGCAAGTATTAACGACCACGTATGTACGAACACAAATACAAATTATTCAAAGTAATTGTAGCATAATGTTGAAATGAAATAAAATAGTGAAAAATATTGTGAGCTACTAAATATATGAAACCGCGTAAGCAGTGTACAAAAATATATTGAAGACGAATTAGAGTTACGTACGCAGACGCTGCAATTTTCCGCGCATTACTCATTCTGTATGAAATGATGGCAAATGTAGCACGAGCGAACGGCTTTCGCGTACCATTTTAATAACCGATAAATCGCTAAATCGATGCAGGTAACCGGCGAACAGCGAGTGTCAGGTCGGTCGGCTACTCCGATCTCTTCGTACTCAGCAAAAAGGACATGTGGGATGTGCTGAAGGAGTATCCAGCTGCAAGGGTACGCCTCGAGGCAATCGCTGTGAAGAGGCTTGAAAAATATAAGCGAGCTCCACTAGAAAAGGGTGAGTCAATTAATTTTCTCCCCTACATTTTTCATTTTCTCACTTATATCTGTGTCGGGCTGTTCCTTTCGAATTTTCTAGCCCTCTTTCCTTTTTAGAAACTTTGCAATTTTCACATTCTTGAACCTTTTAACAACTTATATTCCAATAACAACATTTACGTTTTTTTTTATAAAATTTAATTTTTAATATCACTAATTAAAATAATTAATGTACGCTTTAACAACGGCAATTGAACTTTGCAACGTACTTAAAAGAAATGCTACCAAACATTATGAATTATAAAAGATAATAGTTGCACATATAATTTCTTCTATGATTATTCGACTAAAAAAATATGAATTACTTCATAATGAAAAATATGATTGTATTTATGATCAAAATAACCGATCTGCTACGAAACATAAAATATTTCACCTCGCTAAAAAATATGATCAAAATCATTACCGATACTATATTGTTGCAAATATTATAAAAGCAATAAAGTGCATATTAACTAAATTTAAATATTTAAATCATAATTAATTAATCAAATTAATCCATAAAAAATATAACTTGCATATACAAATATTTAAATTTAATTTAAAAGTTATAATTGATTATCTTCTAATTTTTGTTTATTCCCGTTCGCGATAATATTTTTATAATATGTATAATTATCGCTATTAAAGCACAATTACTAAAAATAACAGTTACATACAAATATATCGCGATAAAAAAAAATATCAAAAATTAACAAAAACTGTTCTCCGATACGCAGTTGTTATTATATTCGAGAATTTCATTGTATATTATCAAGTTAAAATGTCATTAAATTAAAAACAACATCGCTTTATGTCTCTTATTTTTTCGGATAAAAATTGTTAATATAAATCAAGGAATGATATATGCATATATAAATATTAAATAAGAATGAAATGTTGTTTCTGTTAATGAATAAACCATTCCTTTAGCACCCGTTTGCTCATAAAATTATAATTGCATTTTGGTATTAAATGAAACTGTTACTTTAAATGGTATTTTGAGGTTTTGATCAGTACATCTACACGCACCCAATCACATTGCAATAACAAATTTTTAACGATCTGATACAAAATTAACTCATTGCACTCATTAAACTTAACTTGCGTACATTAAGCATGCTTATATTAAGGAAATATAAGATGACTAGTAACATTTATATTTGAATTATATATGTTTTTATTAAAAATAATTATTTTTAATTATTACAGCCGCACTTGTTAAATACTTTAATATAAAAGTTATTCTGACAATTTTACAACCATCTTTATTTAAAACTTTAATTAAGCGGCTTCTATATTTATTATAATTTATTATACTTACTTAAAAATTTTTTTTATTTAAAAAGTTATTAAAACGCAGTTAATTACATTCAATAAAAGATTTTAAATTATTATGAATATATAAATAAAATAAAAATTAAAAAATATATATATGAATGCGTACACGCGTATGGTACGCAATGTTAATTGCAATAAACGTATAATAAGAGACATAGATAGTTTAGTCTCTTTTAGTTTGAGTGTAATTATATATAAAAATGAAACACAGGTAGGAAAATAAAAAATACAAAATATTAGAGAAACATTTTTTTATAAAATTACGCAATTATAAGATTTTTTTTAATAAACAAATATTGAAATTTCTGAAACGCATTGTATGAAATTTTAAAAACCATAACATTTATAGATAATCAATAGCTATAATATATAAAACATGCTTCAATATCATTTTAAAAATATTTTAAAGTGTTAAAATATCTTAATATCCTAAAATTATATATAAATAAGAATTTTCAACAAATAATGAAAACAATAAAATAAAATTTAATAAATCTTACTAAAATTTAAGTTAATAAAAAATATATACTAAAACATTTATACATAACTATAAGAATACTTAATTAAATATATCTAAATCAATACAACATCCAAGTATGTATAATGATACTTGTATGTTTCCGTTGCATACAAAATTAAAAGCAATTTATTTATTTCCTTTTAATATTTAACATTTTAATTAATGAACATTTATTAGGTGCAAAATAGAAGTATTCTTTAATTTTTAATTTCATTATCACTTATTATAAAAAAAAATATACAAAATCGGATCTGTTTCTTTTGTATTTATATTATAACATTAATCAATTCATCCGTATTTATAAAAAATCCATACAAACCCATATCCAAATAACGAGAACAGGCAAAACCTTCAATTCCTTACGTGAACACTATTCTCCAAGTATAAAATATATACATCGATCATCAGTCGAAATGGATAAAATCGGTAATACTACCCATCTCTTAGTTTCAAGATCCCTGACCGTTTATTTAATATTACGCAAAATATTCTGTGAATTTTAGAATTAATCGATTATATTCAAAAAGCATCAGAATTTAAATCTTCTGAAATTGATATTTAGTTTCTAATGAAATAATGACTATTTGTTAAAATTGGTAAAATTCATGACTTTATAATAAAAATTTCTTCTGCGGAAAAAATAGATTCTTTTAACCATAATATGAACAAAAAAACTGTAGATTTAAATGTAAAATATTATTCAAAAATTCGTAAAAGTAATGTTTTAGTTTATATATTGATGCGTACTTAGTTTCATAAAATATAATGTTCAAACGAATTAAACGATTGTAATATATGTTATTATAAGTTATGAGTTTCAGTAAAATGATCTGTGAGTTTTAATAATAAAAAAAGTCATATTATTTTTTTGTAAATTATATAAAACTTAATTATTTACAATATGCAATAAACAACGTTATGTTGCTTATGTTAATCAGACATTGAATATGATGTATGTATGTGTATCTATGAAACACATTAAAATAAATAAACACTTTATAATAAAAACATTTTATATTTTTTATATCATACAAGATCTTCAATTAAACCGCTTTTGACAGTCTATATTTTACCATAAGCACATTCAATGAGTACTTGTATGTACTCGTTCAACATTCGCTCAGAATAATTAATTAACTGCTGGCATTTGAGGCGTAGAAGGTACCTAATTACCTACGTATTAGGAAACTCAGTGAAAATGAAACTACTCCGGATGTATGACATACCTTGCAAAATATTCGGTAGTACTGATATATAACCGAAAAGAGGATCTCATTAATTATTTGTGTTAGAACGAGTTAGAAGTCGTGAATGTTATAAAACTAACTGTAAATATAATGTTAATTTATATTACTTTCAATAAAAATTACCTCGAGGTACACAATATGTAATAAATACTTTCGATGACGCTATTGCCTTTTACAATCGAAACACGATCGTATATATTCTAATACCCTTCATTTTTTAAAGTATTCGAATAAAAGTCAATGTATTGGTAATAGAAGTATTTTTTTTCCAATATAATTTTTTTAAAACATATATAGGTATATACGAAGTTAATTAATTAATATGACCTTAAACCCATTGTGGCAGCTAAATATATATAAATATAGTTATGACATTATGTTTGGATGAAGCAAATTTTCCAATATGTCGGATAAGCTAGAGAAAAGTAAATGTAAGTCCAAATTCGAAATTCGCAAATGTATTTAATCCCTCATAGTCGGTATTTCTTCGGTAGTTCTCATACTAATTAATTAATTCATTACTTTTCAGAATGAACCTATTTTAGTTTAATGTCAGAATGTCAAAATAGTTTAATCAGTTACATACGCACGTCCGTCGAAAACTCGAATGTAAACTATATTTGTAAAAGCTAAAGCGAATATTTTGCTAACAACCAACGACTGTCATTTGCTTCTAAATCTGGTGTTTATTTTTGATTAGCTAGTAATCCATTCGAGCTATTGTATAATAATATAATAATTGCTGTCTTGAAAATTTGACCTTGATCATTTTTGCCACATTTAATTAATTAATAATTCAAAATTAAAATAACGATCCCTTAGATTTTCATCATCAAACCATAATAAACTTTCAATATCATATCGATTAATTATTTTGTAATACGCTCAATGAATATATTGATAGAATAATAACATACAAGTATCAATAAAGATAAAAATTCAAATAGTTTTAAGTAATTTATATTATACATTATCACGTATATTTTAATTAATATATTTTTCGATTTTAATATATTAATATGTTCATCTAAAAAATATATATATATATATATATATATATGTGTGTGTGTGTGTGTGTGTGTGTGTGTGTGTAATATATATGCATATTTATTATGATACATGATATAATGGATTGATTTTAGGAACATAATATTTACTATCAATTTCAATTTTTACAATATACTTTTATTTATTATTATTATACTATTTATTATATATTTATTATAATATTTAGTTTATTTTTAATTATTTAAATTTATTATAGAAATATTTCTACGTTAATATCCATAATAAGAAATGAGATATTTGTTTTAATAACCTAGCAAAATATTACATATTGCTATAAAATGTATTTCTAATAATATTTCGATGGTATATTACAAATAACATATATATTTTTAATAATATATATAATAAAATGAGTATGACAACGAAATATTTCATCAAAAACAAAATCATCAAAATAATACATCGAAATAATAAATAGTATAAATCTATTTATATAAATTATTAGTAGTTTATTTATTGATGATTGTTTATAGAGAAAGTTATGATTTTTGCATAATATATCAATTATAAATAGTAATAATATAATTAAAATACAGTACTTATGAAAATATAACTTTTACGTGAATTATTAATTAAATAACATGGCCATACTGCTTGATTTTTACAAAAGGAAGCTTATACATTATTTTATGTTTGAAAATATATTTAGTAAAGAAAAATAACTATAAATACAAGATGATCACCATCTATTCAAAATTTAAAGCATATATTATTGTCTTCCAAATAATCAATAGTTCAATTTTGTTTTATATTATGTTGTTACAAGAATTACTATGTTTAGTATTGTTTTTGAATCAAACATGAAAATAATGATAATCGGTATTAAAAAATAATTCAACTAACATTGATAGTACATATAAATGGTGTTTCAATTTTTTAAAATGTATATTTATTGATTAAATCTATTGATTTGTAAATTAAATCTATTAAATTTATTGATTAAATGAGCCATCGACTGTAATAAATGAATAGATAATTAAAGTATAATTGATAGAGCAATCTTGAGGGAAATTATGGAATATGAAATATTGAGCATAGCAGTTTTAAAAACAACAAATTACATATAATATACAATAAGTTCATGTTTGTTTGTTTATGTGCATGGGGGAGGAGGGATGTGTGCGTAGGCGCGTGTAACATATGCATATCTATACATGTGTTTATAATAGTTGTTAAAAACTATTGCAGCGGCAATGGGCAGATGTCAGAGTACCCCGGGCTTGGTAGAGTCACACGGACGTATACCCCTAGAAGAAATGTTGATCTCACCGCTTGACATGCGAGGCACCCGCTCTCTCGGTCACTCGATTTTCTCGCCGAGCCCGAGTCCCCTGGACTCACGTGACCCAGCTCGGACCTCCGTAACTCACGCAGCCTCCGGAATCCCCAGGAACAGCCAACCCAGAACAGCAGATAGCCCAACGAGTGCCACAAGCAGCGGTCACAGCAGCGAAGACCCTATGGCTAGAGCACCACAGTCCGGAGCGACGCAGCCGTCCACTGGGCGACAGTCCACTCATTCCGGTCGGTCCTATGACACTATTTCTCAATTTCGATTGATTTACCATTTGATCTGTTAAATCACCGGTCACTTTACTCGGAGCTTGATCCTTCACGATGAAAGTTTTCCCCCGTTCCACTTTCCCACACAAATATTTACATTTTGATAAATTCGATCTAGGCACATACTAGAAATTTCATACATTTATTCAATATAGGATATCATACGTAACATTGTTTAATGCAATGTTTTGCTTTTAAACTGATTATCATAATTATTATTACCATTCATTGTATTTTCTTTTAATATTAAACAGCTTTAACGGGTAAATCGGCGTCGCAATTGTCATCAATTATTCAATATATAATGTAATTTTAAGCCAAATAAGAGTTCATAACTTTCACAAAATAATATATTGAAATGTAAATTATGTTTCTCATTGAGCCAAAAGTAATATGATATTATTATGCTGAATCAGTCGATCTCAAAAATAATCCTGACAAATTATCAAATTCCTGAAAACATATCTTTATTATATAGGAAAAGGTTTTTTTTTCAATAAGCTTTTATGATGCCACAACGCAAAAAGTTACTTTATTAGTAATTAGTCTACTCCATCTTATACAAAAACTCATAAAGCATATATAAGATTTATATCTACCTGTATAGTACTTAATTAAAATTCCGTAATTTGTATACAAAAAATATGAAATGTCATTTTACGAGTAACATACACTAGTAAATTTTAAAATATTCAAAAATATATTTTAGCTCATTGAATCTTGCTTAATCAAATCAATCATTATTTCATACAAACCCACTCTAAATAATCGTGCTAATATAAAATTAATTAAATGTCATTGACTTTACATACATGCTGAATTCATTCTTTGTATTGATTGGTGGTTCTAGGATTGAATTAAGTGATGAATTGAATGCAGATTTAAAAATTATGATAAATACATTTTTAATTTTTCGGTGGCTAAACATTGAGAACTGTAAAGGAAATAAAATACAAATAATAAAAATGAATCGAATGCAAAAAAAAAAAATAATAATTGAGTAGGAAACGATATTAGAAAGAAAGGAAAAGCGATTATAATTGCGATAATTCTAGTCAGGTATGGCAATCATTGAATCGCCCTTTAGGAATATTTCGTTGTAATATGGGCTTAGTTCGGTCTTGAAGCGCTCAATACCAGACACTAACGAAATCCGTAAAAACAACGATACGTGACTTATATCCGTAAATGTTCGCGCTCACGTGTCATTCGGTGACCATAAAAATCCAATCCCACGTCACGTACTCAAGGCGATTCCAGAAATCGTTGGTACACCGAGGATCAACCATATCGTTGAATGTGAGACGAGCTTACGCACTGAACCACTCTCACCCCCACCCCAATCGGCCATCCCATACCAATCCCAATGCGTTAGTCCGATGTAATTATGGGAACGTTGGCAACGACAGACAAGCGCAATGAACGCCGGGGGATCGATGCGAGTGAAATTGCGTCCTCGTCAATACGATTGACTTCTTATGCCCGTCGATCAAGTAGCGCTAATTTACCAATACGTTGTCTTGTCGTAAAGTTATAAAAACAACGGATTAATATAAAATAATAAAGAGAACACGACAGGAGGGTAGCTCTCAGTTCAATTGGCTCGCAAAAAAGTTCAAATTAGTAAAACATGATATTTATGAATATATTTAGATAAACATTAAAATAACTCAAAGTATTTAATATCTAATGAGGTAAAAATCATTAGATAATGAATAATAAAAGCCATATGTAAGTACAGCTGAATAATGAATATCGAATCTCTCATTAGTAATTATTACTATTACTATTATTATTATTATTGCTATTATCTTTATTGTTGTTGTTGTTGTTGTTGTTATTATTGTTATTATTATTATTATTATTGAGAAATATATAAATAGTGTATGTTATTACATAAATACATAAATAAAGTAAAATTTAATCGATGGTTTATTTGCTTCCATAAGTTTAATTTGACAGTTTTAAATTTTGTTGTTTTTCATTTTATCAAATCATGGTAAATAAGAAAAAATTATTAAAAATAATGTAAAATGCCAGAAGATATAAACATACAACCGATCTTTCTTAACATTACCGTCGTATAAAAGTAAATCTCACTCGTTATATAAAATACATCAATATTTAATATTCTTTTATTTAATATTTTATATTGCTTATTTAAATACATAGCAAGTGATATCCTATAATAAATTTACTGCTATACGACAAATTACAAGCTAATTTAAGAAAATACATAAAATTAAAATGATATACTTTTACATAAAATATATGTAGACAGAACATAAATAGCTGGATAATCAATTTGAAATTTATAATTCAAGTATTATGATATATTAATTATATTACATATTAATATTTATCAAGCGCGAAAATCAATAACATAATTTAAAAAAAATTTAATACTCTAAATTTTCGTTCACAATCCCACATTTTATATAATTTAATATAATTTACTATAATTAGGCAAACTATTAAGAATAAGTAATAAAAATAGAATAAACATTAGTAACGTACAATTCTGTTATTGTAAATTTAAATGTCATTATAAATTTTTTTACAAAACTATTTAACTAAACTATTTACATAATTAAATAAATAATTTTTCATATACATATGATATTTTTAATATTGTTAAATAAATGATTGAAAGTAAGTTGGATATTTGATAGAATTATAAAAATTTCGATTGAAATACCAGTGTAAGACGAAATAGTGAGACTAAATAACAAAGCATCCTTAAACATGCTTTACAATTATATAATAATTATTTGAGCATGTTTTTATATGTACATTGTCAAAAATAAAAAATATACACTTTAAATTACTTAGATACGAAAAATATCGAATCAGAAACTAGATATCAAAAGTGTAATTGAATTAATCTGTAAAAAGAATGTACTAGTATGTAGATACTGACTAGATAGTATGTAGAAGACTGTACTAGCATGTAAATTCAATTTAAGAACAAAAAACCTTTAATCGACTCTTAACTTTGTTAAAAAAACTTGGTTTATGTCGTATTCTGATTTTAGTAGCAGCAATAAAATTAAAAGAATTTCAATGAATATTTTTTGAGAAATGCATTATAATAACATTACCGGATTCATTTTGAATTCTTTATATAATTGTAAACGAGTACTTTATTGGTGACTTTATGAGCTCTGAGAAGACGACTTCATACTAAAATAGAAAATTATCGTCCCTTTCAATGGCCTTTACAATATACCTAATTGCATAATCGTATAATTGCTATGAAAAACAAAAGAGTGTTGCAAAAGAAAAAGAAAAAAAAATCTGACCAAGACTCATGTTTTAATAAAGGTAACTAGAGCAACCGATTAATATTCAAGTGCGCTAATGAAAATCTATTCAAAGATTAATGTACAAATATATAAAAATCTTTGTCCATCTCGAAAAACATGAAAGCCAGCATTCTGTAAATATGGCCCATTAAATTTGATGGTCAAATACAGGAGGCCTTGAATGCGCGTCAAAGTAAATCCAACAATAGCTAATTAACTATCTATTTAAGCAAACGATAGGGAATCGCTTTATCACTTCAATAATAAGCTCGTGTGTATCAGCAGGTATGACGTGCAACAGTATGACACAGCTAGTGAGTGAAGGTACGACACCATTGTTCGGTCACGAGCCTCTCCTTGCCGAGATCAAACGACTCCGTGATCGGCTAGTGTGCCTCGAATCCGAGAACGCTTCAATGAGTCTCAAGCTGAACCAGAAGCAGAGCGAAGTGGAGCACAGACTAGCCGAGATCGAGATGCAGATCTGCGGGGCGAGCTCATCCTCGAGCGTCGAGGACAACGAGCGCAATCGCGAGAGCATCATTTAACAAGAAACAGGGCCGCGTGCGGAACGCGGCAATTCGAGACTCGAGCGCATCCGTCAAACGGTGAGTTCATGTGGAGACGAAGAGATAGGGACGCATTTAATGTTTATTAAACTGGTAATATTATCTATATAATTGCGAATCAAAATATTTCACAATTTAATACGTAGTGAAATGTCTGTCAAAATTTTACTGACGTATAATTACAGTTATGATATATTTAATTTATTAACTGACATATTGAGCACATATTTGAAATTTAATGACAATTATGAACACCAATTGGATATAAAAAATTTAATATATATTTATCATATATTGATAATACAATGATAAATCGATTATTGGTTAAAGTACTAAAGTAAGATAAATTTCTTATAAAAATCTAAATTATTGTTTGTTCAAACTATGATACCTACTCGTTGGCAAAAAAGTCAAAATTAACGTTTTTCAGATATCTTCTAACAAGTAGTATTTTTCTAAAAAAAAAAAAACTAATAATGTATGTAACAGTTTGTTTTAAATTTTTTAAATTTATTAAAGATATTTAGGTATAAAAAATTTTGTTTATAAAAATCAAATTATTCTCTCTACTCATTGTCGCTTTAATAACCATAATTTTCTAAAATCATATAATATTATTTGTTTCGTGTCAATAGTGTTGATTGTAGTAATAAGCTTTTCATATTGACGTCAACTACAATGGATATTACTAATTATATATTATTATAAAAATAAAATAAATGAATTGCTTATACACTTCTCTCTGTGCTCTTGTAAATGCAATAAAATCAAAATATATTTAAAAATCAATTAATAAACATCGAGTCCCTTAATGATAGTTTTAAATTAAACAATATATAAAAAATTATTGATTATATACACATGATACGAAAAATAGCATATTATATTTTGTAGAGAAATATATAATAAAACAAGTGATATAAAAACATACTGTTAATATGCAAAGCAATGTTTATAATTGGTTTTTTAGTTTACATACTATTGCTGATGTTATTATATTTAATTAGATTTTCAATATTTCTAAAGTTCTCCGCATTTGTATAATTAACATTTGTATTTATATTTTGTAATATTAAATACAATTTCAATGTGATAAAAATGAAAATATTTTACAAGGAATATAGTGTTTAAACATACATAAAATACATTTTAATTTCTTAGGAATTTTGTGCCTAAAAATTCCTTACCTATAGTGTTACGAAATTCAATTCAGTACCATGTATGTTTAGGGCTTTAAATAAAAATACAATTTAATAAAAAATCTTTTATTATTACGAATTAACTTATCAAATTTCGACAATAATTAGAAATTCTCTTCATTTCGCTTCATTTCATTCTATTTTACGTATTGTATTACGATATTACATATCACGATATCGCATATACTGGAAATAATCATTTGTTTCCTTTAAATAGACACTACACGAAGAGAAATGATAAATATGGTATCGAATATAATTGCATAATATATTACTCTTTGTATAAATAGCAAAACAAAAAAATATTGTTTTATATGCATGTTGATGCCAAATTTTGTTAATTAAAAACCGAATAGAAATAAAAATAATTATTACTCAATATAATCAAAATTTTTAGTTTAAATTGCAAATTTTATTTAAATTAACGATATGTTACATAGCATTAAAGGCTATACTCGATTAGTATACTCATATTTCATACTATTATATAGATTAACTAACTTAAAATTAATATTTTATCTTGCATCTTAAAAAGCAATTATTATAAATTAAATTTACAAAAATATTTGGAACGTTAATAATAGATAATAAATGTTTTAAATGAAATATGAAAATTGCAATATATATATATATATATTTATTTATAAGCAATCATTTTCACGTGTAGATCGAATAAGTATTAAATGGATAAATAAAATCAAATACCTAATCGTAATAAAAAATTTATGACAACAATTATTTGCCATAAGGGTCATTTAGTGTTTTTGGAAATATGATTTCTATATTTATCGATAATCTACTAAGCGAGTAAACCATAGTTAATTGAATATAGGACTGAGAAATTTTTTTACTTTTATGGAGATATGCAAATTGTTAATGGTCCTGGTTACCTTGGACTCTCAGAGCAATTAACTCACTCTCTCGTGGCCTCGATTATATCATAGCGTACCAAGTAAGAGCTGCGAGTGTAATTTGGCTCATGCCGTAGCAACAGGTTGAACGGCCGACGTCGGCAAGCGTCTTGGAGGTGGCCGTGACGAACAGCGACACCAAAGCATCCATCGGCAGCCTAAATCAGCGGCTCTTTGGAAGCGACGATGAGGACGGGATGGAGCAAGAGGGCCGGAGGGAGGCCCCGAAGCTCGTCGAGATGAACGGGCGAGTTGGAGTCGATCTGCTCTCGAGCAACTACTCCAACTCCTCCCAGACTCTGCTATGCAGCGAATGCAACTTGAGGAATCGCGGCTGCGATGTCAGGCCCAGGGCACCGAGTGCCTTGGCCAGCCACTACTTAAACGAGCGCTTTCAACACGGCTGTGTGAGTATCACTAGATAACGCTCGAGATATAAGCTTCTAATGGGCGAGCATTTGACAATCCTTATTCTTTTCATTCAATGTTCTTGCTTCAAGATTGCTTCAATCAAAATTGGAAAACGCGTCTTCGGAAAATATGTAATCCTAAAATTCTAGGTTTATAAGCAAAATTTCCTCTCTAGTTATTGATTTTCATTGCATAAGGTTAATGCAAGCGCGTAAATGGAAGTCATATAGATAGCAAAATTCTACAAAGATGGCCGCTATATCGTTAAATTTTAATCTATATGGGAAGTTCTTGGCTGTATGTAAATGATATTATATGAATGAATAAAGTAGAAATTTATTTTACACAGAACTACGGACGTTTTTAATATTATCACGCGAATAAAAGTCGATAAATATTTTAGATACGAGACAAAAGAGAAATAACCTAACAAATTCTATTTTATTAACGAAATAATCTGTACTGTCGAGTTATTATTATTGTATATAAAGGGTCAAATGAAAAAATTTGTTTATCAAAAAATAACTTTATAAATATCAGTAAACGTTTTGTCAAGTTATCGAAAACGTAGTCGACTTGTTTTTGCGGCATCAAAACTTGCATTCCCAACGTACAATCGCATACGTTAACCACAATAAAGATTCATTTTACCACGGTATATTATTTTATAGCGACATAACATTAGGTAACTGATTATTTTGCTTTTTCTTAATTGGAATTTTTACGCTTAATTTGAAGGACCGAAGCGACTAGTTTAATCAATATCGTAAAGATTGTTTATATTTAGTTATTCATTTTGAATATTTGGAATTTCAAATTATAGTAAATACTATCGCTTTAAACCTTACTTTGAATCTTACTCTAAAGCAATCTTATTCGTGAAAAATAAAATCAATAATGCAATATTAGAGAGTATGTTGTTAAATATATAATTTATAATATAATATGATCTAGTATAAAATAATAATAAATATGTATTATAGAATATAATAAAATTCATTGCGTAAATATGTACAATAAAGTTGGTTAATTTAAGTTTATCCAATTCTATTTTACTAATATATTTATGAGTAAAATACTTAAATAAATTGTAGCTAAAGAATTGGTCCTTATAAAAGGTATTAGAAGCGTATATTTTGCAAGAAACATTAATATATGAAATATTAAAGCAAAGACAACTAAAAAGAAATTAAATAGAACTCAAAATTTTGTCATGTAACAAAGTTCTATCAAAATATTACATAACAAATACACAATACTTTATAGAACAATGTCAATATACACTAACATTCATCCATCATATTTACATTTTTTATTTCACTATACGATTACTAATTGACAATAATAAATCATATAAATAAATAGTTTATATTGGATAATTAATAGGGTGACACTGAATTTATTGTTTTTTTTTTTAAATATAAATTGTATATAAAAATAAAAAGTAAAAAAATTAAAAAACTAGAAATATTTTTAATTTTTCTGTAAGGTTGTTTCTTATGAATAATATTTTTACACCGCATTTTTAATGTACATTCGATACATTACAGAAGTAGATGTTTGGTGCTTGGTTCTATCCAATCAAGACAATGGTAACGTAATATTTCTTATCGAATATTGATCTTTAGTATATATCGAACATAATAGTAATATTATTTTTGTGATATTGTATATTAAAGTTGCATTAAATAAACTTAAATATATAACGTAATTTCCTGTAAGCCTATACAGTTAAAAAATATCCTACGTTTTTCAAACAATGAAAATTAGCAAATAATCTTTTAAATGTAAAAATAAAAGTATTATTCAATTTAATATCTTCAATTATCATATCACTGATAAATTATACTTAAAAAGCTGTCAACTATATTCTCAATAATGAGGTTTGAAAATTTTGAGAGTAGAGAGAGAGAGAGAGAGAGAGAGAGAGAGAGAGAGAGAGAGAGAGAAAGTAAACAAGAAGTCGCATTGCGTGAATCTAATAAAGAGAAAAACATAAGCTTTGACAATCGCTAAGCACCAATCGTGTATTTCTTTCCGTTAATCCATAGTGTCTCCGGTCGTTGGAACACGAGGACTCGGATGATTCGTCAGCTTGTCCTCAGTGCGAAAGTGGCATCGAGATAAGAAATCGCTGCTCACACTGCGAGATTTCGGAAACGGACGAAGGCGACCTCATATGCTTTAGCTGCCAAGGCGAGCTCCTGGGCTCGGACAACTGCTGTTGCATCCTTGATCTAGTTGAAGCCCAGCAAATCGCTATTAGACTACAACTGGATAATAGTTCGATCGAGAAAGATGCGAATGGGATGACAACGACGATGACGACGAAGACGACGACGACGACGACGACGATGACGACGATGACGACGACGACGACGACGACGACGGCAACGATGATGAAGAAGGCGACGGCAGCAACTGGAACCGATAGCGACGCCTCAGTCGTGCCAGTTGCCTCTAAGCTGGCGACCATTGTTGAAATCAAGAATGACCCGACGCCGAGT